TGTCGCGTTTAAATAGGTGTCGCGTTTAAAAGTGGTACCTTTCTTGGTCTGCAGTCTTTTAGGTTATGTTGCCTAAGATATAGCGAACTGTTTGTTCCGTCACATTTATGTTAAGCTCTTTTTTAAGCTCGGTAGCAGGCTTGAAGGGATCCTTCGTGTTCTGACGAATCAGACCTTTGACAGATGGGTCATAGATCGTTATCGTCCGCGTGTTTCAATATTTTTTTGATAGTTTAAGACGTTTTTAATTATTTTATTAGAGTATCCTACAAATTGACCAACTTCTCTGCAAGTTTTTCCGTCCAATATCAATTTTTAGATAAAATCGCGCTTCTCTGCAGTGCAGTGCATTCCACGTTCCATCGTAATGATTATTATTAACTTTTATGATAGAAAAAATGATATCTTAGTCAAAACTAATTAACACGTTAATTCTGCAAAGACAATTCCGCGATATAACGAGGATTCGTTAAGAAAAGGACTAATGGTGCTATTTTTTTTTTTCTGCATTTTTGGGGGTTTTTTCTTAAAATTCTCAAAAAAAAAAGGTATAGACAGAAATTTGAAGAACGCTAACACTGTTTTTGTTTATGGGGAATACCAAACGATATAAAAAAAATCAAATTTCACAAAAATCGGAACAGTAATCGCATTTTTTTTCATCAAGAACAAAATGTGTTGTAGTGGTGCTATTATTTTTTCACAGCTGTATGTGCTGCGTGCAACAGAAAGAGGGACTTCTGCAAAATTTCATTAAGATATCTTTAAAACTGAGAGACTAGTTCTCATAGAAACAGACAGACGGACAGACGGACATGGCTCTATCTACTCGGCTGTTGATGCTGATCAAGAATACATAAACTTTATGGGGTCGGAGATGTCTCCTATGCGTTACACATTTCACGACAAAATTATAATACCCTCTGCAGGGGTATAAAAATCCCCAAACCATTACGTCGCCCACTCGACAATGCAATCGGTCAGGTTTATGCTCTTCCTTTCTTAAATCGCGAAAGTAATTGTTTTGAGAATCCGGGACCTCCAAATTAAATTTGCCCTCGCTTAAGAATACAAATCGGTGCCACTCCCGCTGGAGGTCATATTGGCTCAACAAAACAATCGCTGCACTGTTCAGTGGTGGCTTTTATACCGTGAACCCATTAAAAATGGGTAAGAAGGGTATACTGTTTTTGTGCAAATGTATGTAACAGGCAGACTTAACCTATTTTTTCTTAACTTTTTTTTGCATCGAATTTTTATTCTAAGTATTCTTCATAGATATAAGGCACAAACATAACAAATTTCAAAATACAAAAGTAACAAAACAGACAAAACTAATATACGGCATTTATTGCACTGTCAATTAATTCTTTGCAAAATTAAAACTATAACTGTATATATAACTATATCTAGGAAACTTTAGCTATGGTGGTAATAATATTTGGTATATTGGCCATTAGCATCCATTACAGCCCGCAGACGACGAGACAGGTAATACATTTCAGGTATTTTTATCTTTTCATCTTGCATTGCCTTGATGAGTGCCTTTTTGTTAGTTGGGCTCCGTATCCCCAAGCGCTTCTTAAGGAAAGCCCACAAATGTTCAATTAGGTTTAAGTCAGGACTCTGGGCAGGGGTGTCAATGACTTTGCTGTAGTTGTACAGCAGCCAAGTTCCGCACAGAAACAATTTGTATTTGGGGTCATTGTCCTGATAAAGTTTTTACGTCTGTTTATTGGGGTTTTGGTGGTCTACGAAACCAAACTTTATTGCACTCCTTCACAATTCATTCGTTTGAATGTCCAAATAAAACTCTTTCGTCATCACATCATTGAAAATGCACAGCTCACCAACACCTTTTGACGATATGCAGCCCCACACCATTACAAAAAGTTTGTCAAACTTTACTGTTGGTGTTATATTTTTCTGTTCCAGAGTTGTATTGGGTTTTCTCAGAACTTTGCTGGGTCCGTCATGATAGTATAACATTATTTTTGTCTCGCCGCAAAAAAATAACTCCGCGGGCTTGTTAACATTGACAGACAGACAGTAATGGCGTTATTTTAGCTATTTGCGAGGGGTATTTATGAATTTGTAAAACTTTACGAAGTGGCTCGTGGCTTACTGTCTTCTTGCAGTCTTTTTCTTTTAAGTCCGATGCCAACTGTGTGAGGCTAGTTTGAGGATTTTCTTTGATTTTTTTTTTTAATTTTTGAATGATCTCGTCTAGTGAGCTCCGATGGTCCGCCTGCGGAGTGTTTTAATTCAAACCTCTTTTCTTTTTCGGCGTGGTTAATAATATTATAATTAGTTCTTAGCCTACTTGAGAACATTTCCGCCAATTCCTTAGCAGATTACCCCTTGTGGTAGAAATAAACTACAATCTTGCAAAACGCTCACAATTAAACAAGATGTGTACTGTTTAGAAAGCAAAATCGTTAAGAAGGCCTGTAACCTTGGTGTTCACATTGGGATATATTGAAGATTTTTTTGGAAATGGCTCTTCAGACATTAATGAGCGGTTCCAAGAGTTCGAACTTAATGCGTTAACAGTTCAGTGAACCAGGCATCTATTGTAATGACCGTAATCGGGACTGGAGTTTGCGTCGGATTCTGACCAATTGTCTCCTGCTAATTCGGGTAATAGTATTAAAGCAGGAATGGTTAGATCGTGTAGATCTTTTTCTTTTATGTCAGGATCAAAGTTACTTTCCGACTCGTATTCCTCCGTAAGATCTATTTTTTCTTTGTCTGTCGACTCTAGTTGTTCACTAGTTTCGAACGTCGAAAGGGTATTCAGGATTGTCGGTATCGATATTTCCAAATTATACCTTCTCTTGAGTGATACTAAATTTGATCGAAATCTGATCAATAATTTAGATATATATTACCAATGTGCTTTATTTAGTCTTTCTCGGTTTTCATGTACTAGTGTTCGTGCTTCATTCTACTAGTATTGTGGTGTTTTTGTTAATTGTTTCGGTCTGAATAGACCTATTTTGACTTATACATTTGTAAGATTTGTCAAAAGTACTTCTGAGTTGACTGATTCTGGCATTTAATTGTTGCAGTTCAATATTTAATACTTGAATATATTATTAATTTTGATTTTACCACCATATTACTATTTGTGCAAATGTATGTAACAGACAGAAAGAAGCATCCGACCCCATAATGTATATATATTCTTAATCAGCATAGCTGAGTCGATCTAGCCATGGCCGGCCACCTGTCAATCCTAAAGACTTGCAATTTTGAATGTAGGTCCTCCTAGTGCCCGCGCAGATCGAATTTGTTTCCGATAATCAATAACTTTCCCCCATTTTCAAGAACTCGATATTGAAATTCCGTTTATCTAGTAATTTATAAGAGCTAGAGTCGCCAAAATTGGCATTTAGCTACTATACTATTTTAGTAGCTAAATGCCAATTTTGGCGACGATATATATATAAATATATATATATATATATATATATATATATATATATATATATATATATATATATGGCGACAGCTATAAAATGAAAGATACTTTATATATATATATATATATATATATATATATATATATATATATATATATATATATATATATATATATATATATATATATATATTTGTCGCCACATCCCCGCAATCACCACATAGTTGTGGCTGGTGTGGTGTGGTCGGTACGGGTTCGTATCCGATGGGGAGGAACGTATTTATAGCTCATTATACTTTTTATTACTGCTAAAGCAAACGAATTCTTAAATTAAACAAGAAGTGTTATTCTTAAATGTGATGATATCTATGAAATGAAAAGTAGTTGATTATATATATTTATATACTATTCTAAAAGCTACATGTCAAATTTGATAATCCTAGAACTTACAACTTAATCAAATTTTAACGATTGCCTGGAAACGGGGCCAGTTTTCGATTATCGGAAGCAAACTTGTACTGCGCAAGCACTAGGAGGACCTAAAATTTAAAGTCTCTAGCTCACAAAGGTTCTGAGATCCTTGCATTCAAACAAAAAGACGAACGAACAGACAGACAAACATGGCTAGGTCGACTCGGCTATAGATGCTGATCAAGAATATATATACTTAAGGGGTCAGATATGCTTCTGCCTGTTATACCGTATACCCTTTTACCCATTTTTAATGGGTTGGTTCAGTGTCTAATATAATAAGAAATTAATATTTAAAATAAATACAAACCAATGTATTAATATTAAACTAAAAGAACGTACAGTTTGTCAAGTAATTATTTGCAAAATTAAAATTTTTTGAACTTATATTTTACCGATTAAGTAATCGATGAAGTAATCGCTCAGTTTTCAAGCTATCGCCATGAAACTTGTCGTACGCCCCTCTTTCTGTCGCACGCAGTACATTTATCGGAACCGGCTGGAACGACCCACTATATAATATAGCAGCCATAGGAACAATCGATCGAAAAGAAGGTTTTTGTATGAAAAACTGTTTTGTTTATCAAGATATCTTGACCAAACTCGACATTTTTTAGTTTTAATATGCTCCTCATATGGCTGCCATAGTAACGATCAGTCGAAAATTAAGTTTTTGTATCGAAAACTTTTGTTTTTCAAGATATCTTAACCAAACTCGCCATTTATAAGCTTTATTTTGTATGCATGTTGCCTTCATTTATGCAAAATCTTTTCTATATATTAAGTTCTATGGAAACCTTTTTTGTTTAAATGTTCTCCATATATTTATGAAAGATCTTCTTTTTATCGGACGACTATATTAGCTGCCATGGGAACGATCGGTTGAAAATTAAGTTGTTTTATTGAAAACTTGTTAAGTTTTTCAAGATATTTTAACATTGTGAGCATTGTGAGCATTAGGAAAAGGTTCGGACTGCAGGGGTATTAAATCTTTTGCATGCCAAAGCCCTTCTTTCTTGTTTTTTAATGACAGTAACAACGCAATTTGAAACGAATACATTTTTTATCCAAGCAAGTGTTTATTATAAGTGATAGGATTACTTACAATGAGATCATCTTTATATATGCTGTTGTCCGTATAGAATACAAGAAGCTCTGCAGAAAGCGCCCGACAGGTGGGCTCACGTATCTTGGAAGCAACCAATAAACAGGCGGCTGCTAAGATTTGTAAATGAGTTTTTCGAACAGATTTTGTTGACAAAAAGCGATCCATGTAGTTAATTGCTAGCAAAACTACCTCCTCCTGACATTTCTCCTCAGCACAAACCTTAAACGATAAAAGTAAAAATGGTTTTAAGTTTAAGTAAATTTAAGAATAACACTTTAGCGTTTGCTTTAGCAGTAATAAAAAATATTCAAAGCAAAAAATAAGTTCCTCCCCATCGGATACGAACCCGTACCGACCACAATACTTGACACTGCCTCTACTTACAGGCCACAACTATGTGGTGATTGTGGGGATGTGGCGACAGTTATAAAATGAAAGATACTTGATATATATATATATATATATACATATATATTATTCTAGTAGCTAAATGCTAATTTTGTCGACTCTAGCTCTTATAACTTACTAAATCTGCTCAATAAACAGGATTTCGATATTGATTACTTAAAAATGGTGCAAATTATTGATTATCGGAAACAAATTCGAGCTGCGCGGGAGTTACCTTATCAGTCACAGCACCCACGAAACCACCAAGAAGCAGCAAATAAATACAACGCAACTGAACCAAATGAGTACATAGACACATATGTAAGTACATATGTATCTACATACCAACAAGACGATGACCACATAAAGCAGAGTACATTGTTCTACATTGTACAAACACCATATCAGCAATTTAACAGGATGCAGAAACATCAACTTCAGAGACCACTTGAGATGTCAACTCAGCAGTCTTGAACCCACCAACGGCAACCACACATTTGTACATACATACATCCTTATATACTGTGATACTTGGGCTACTTCAGAATGTCACTTGGTCGAATAAAACATATCGCATTTACTGTTCAATCTGCACAGACGTGCATGTCTTTATCTCCAATTCAATTCAAACTTAATATCTACATAACCAAAGAGAATGGACAAGGAAACTTAGCCCGTTCCAGACAAACTTGTTACTATCGTCCACTGCCAAGAAGGTAACTCGGGCACTATGGGGACCTACATTAAAAATTATAGGTTTTGAGATCCTTGCGTTAATACATACGTACAGACGGGCAGCCGGATTGACAGATGGACATCGCTAGATCGCCTCAGCTATGCTGATTAAGAATATATATACATTATGGGATCGAATGCTTCCTTCTGTCTGTTATGATGGACTACTCTGCAAAATCAAGCCCGTGTTGCCACCTCAACTTAATTTGATTGTGCAAAGCTATTTAACAAACCGGTCATTTTCGATAGTACTCGATGGAGTTGAGTCCAACATGAGGGCCATCGGGGCTGGCGTTTCTCAAGGGAGTGTGCCCATGCTCTACACCCTCTTTAACTTCGACATGCCCACTGGCTCTACTATTGAAGTCGCGGATCCACACGACCTTACCATCGCCACTTTTGCAAATGCCACAGTCATCTTATTCAGAAATTAATGTGTTTATGAAGCTACTGATGTCCTGCAGAAACACCTTCACAACTTTTAAATGAGGGCCAAGCGTTTGAATATTGGCATAAATTTAAATAAATGTGCCAATGTGACGGGCGGATATATGTGTGGGAGTACTCTTGCGCGGTCAATTGGTAACGCGCCACGACAGATACAAATACTTAGGGGTGCACTTAGACAGGCGCTCGAATTTTAACACACACATCACAAGTGTCTCTGTAACCCTGAAGAACAGATTGGGAAAACTAAGATGGCTTCTGAGCAGTAGATATGCGTTGTCTTTGAAAAATAAAGTAACCATTTATAAATCCCGAATAGCTCCCGCCCGGCGTTATTGCATATAGGAGTGCCGAAAGTCGGGGATGTTATAAATATACAGGCTGCAAATTACACAGCGCGACTGGGAAACCATCTTAATCGTTTGGCTAGGTGTCTTTTAAAAAGGCGCAGAATTAGAGGAGTCCGTTCGCTGAGGAGATTTCGAAGGTCTCACCCAATCGATCTCCCAGATATATATATACATATAGTCACTCTAGTAAATTTGTATAATAGACTTACCAGTAGAATAAGTACTTTGTAAATATTCATATAAATTTAATTTAAGTTGTTCTTCATAATAACAGAAAAATTAAAATAAAAATCTGTCACATACATTTGCACAAATAGTAATATGGTGGGATAATCAAAATTAATAACATATTTAAGTATTAAATATTGAATGGCAACAATTGAATGCCAGAACCAGTCAACTCAGAAGTTCTTTTGACAAATCAGACAAATTCAGACCGAATCAATTAACAAAGACACCACAATACTATAAGAAAGCTTTAATGAAGCATGAGCTATAAATACGTTCCTCCCCATCGGATACGAACCCGTACCGACCACACCACACCAGCCACAACTATGTGGTGATTGCGGGGATGTGGCGACATATATATATATATATATATATATATATATATATATATATATATATATTTCAAGTATCTTTCATTTTATAGCTGTCGCCATATATATATATATATATATATATATATATATATATATATATATTTATATATATATCGTCGCCAAAATTGGCATTTAGCTACTAAAATAGTATAGTAGCTAAATGCCAATTTTGGCGACTCTAGCTCTTATAAATTACTAGATAAACGGAATTTCAATATCGAGTTCTTGAAAATGGGGGAAAGTTATTGATTATCGGAAACAAATTCGATCTGCGCGGGCACTAGGAGGACCTACATTCAAAATTGCAAGTCTTTAGGATTGACAGGTGGCCGGCCATGGCTAGATCGACTCAGCTATGCTGATTAAGAATATATATACATTATGGGGTCGGATGCTTCTTTCTGTCTGTTACATACATTTGCACAAATAGTAATATGGTGGTAAAATCAAAATTAATAATATATTCAAGTATTAAATATTGAACTGCAACAATTAAATGCCAGAATCAGTCAACTCAGAAGTACTTTTGACAAATCTTACAAATGTATAAGTCAAAATAGGTCTATTCAGACCGAAACAATTAACAAAAACACCACAATACTAGTAGAATGAAGCACGAACACTAGTACATGAAAACCGAGAAAGACTAAATAAAGCACATTGGTAATATATATCTAAATTATTGATCAGATTTCGATCAAATTTAGTATCACTCAAGAGAAGGTATAATTTGGAAATATCGATACCGACAATCCTGAATACCCTTTCGACGTTCGAAACTAGTGAACAACTAGAGTCGACAGACAAAGAAAAAATAGATCTTACGGAGGAATACGAGTCGGAAAGTAACTTTGATCCTGACATAAAAGAAAAAGATCTACACGATCTAACCATTCCTGCTTTAATACTATTACCCGAATTAGCAGGAGACAATTGGTCAGAATCCGACGCAAACTCCAGTCCCGATTACGGTCATTACAATAGATGCCTGGTTCACTGAACTGTTAACGCATTAAGTTCGAACTCTTGGAACCGCTCATTAATGTCTGAAGAGCCATTTCCAAAAAAATCTTCAATATATCCCAATGTGAACACCAAGGTTACAGGCCTTCTTAACGATTTTGCTTTCTAAACAGTACACATCTTGTTTAATTGTGAGCGTTTTGCAAGATTGTAGTTTATTTCTACCACAAGGGGTAATCTGCTAAGGAATTGGCGGAAATGTTCTCAATTAGGCTAAGAACTAATTATAATATTATTAACCACGCCGAAAAAGAAAAGAGGTTTGAATTAAAACACTCCGCAGGCGGACCATCGGAGCTCACTAGACGAGATCATTCAAAAATTAAAAAAAAAAATCAAAGAAAATCCTCAAACTAGCCTCACACAGTTGGCATCGGACTTAAAAGAAAAAGACTGCAAGAAGACAGTAAGCCACGAGCCACTTCGTAAAGTTTTACAAATTCATAAATACCCCTCGCAAATAGCTAAAATAACGCCATTACTGTCTGTCTGTCAATGTTAACAAGCCCGCGGAGTTATTTTTTTGCGGCGAGACAAAAATAATGTTATACTATCATGACGGACCCAGCAAAGTTCTGAGAAAACCCAATACAACTCTGGAACAGAAAAATATAACACCAACAGTAAAGTTTGACAAACTTTTTGTAATGGTGTGGGGCTGCATATCGTCAAAAGGTGTTGGTGAGCTGTGCATTTTCAATGATGTGATGACGAAAGAGTTTTATTTGGACATTCAAACGAATGAATTGTGAAGGAGTGCAATAAAGTTTGGTTTCGTAGACCACCAAAACCCCAATAAACAGACGTAAAAACTTTATCAGGACAATGACCCCAAATACAAATTGTTTCTGTGCGGAACTTGGCTGCTGTGCAACTGCAGCAAACTCATTGACACCCCTGCCCAGAGTCCTGACTTAAACCCAAAAGGCTCTCATCAATGCCATGCAAGATGAATGGATAAAAATACCTGAAATGTATGACCTGTCTCGTTGTTTGCGGGCTGCAATGGATGCTGCTAATGGCCAATATACCAAATATTAGTACCACCATAAGTTTCCTAGATTTAGTTATATATACAATAGTTTTAATTTTGCAAAGAATTAATTGACAGTGCAATAAATGACGAATATTAGTTGTGTGTTTTTTTTTTTACTTTTACTACTACTTTGGGTCCTTCCAGTGCTTGCGCAGTACAAATTTGTTTCCGATAATCGACAACGGGCTCGCAGGTAGCTTGCTGCTGTTTGGACCTTAAGGTCCTTTGCGATGTCTCGTGTGCCAATATACCATTCGGCTCCAGAGACTTTTCGCAAGGTCTTGATCTGGATGATGCGAAGTTCGTTAAGGTGCGTCTTCGCGGCAATTCCATACACCTGGAGTTCAGATCCCCACGCAGGGCATGTATTACCTTATAGATAAGGACTTTGTTCCGAAGGGAGGTTTTGTTAATTGGGTTTAGCAGCCAGTTCAGACGCCTGATTTTGCTTTTCAAGTTGTTGGTTACCTTGGTGACATGTTTTTTTAACGTAAGTTGTCTGTCGAGTGCGATCCCAAGGTATTTATGGTCACGCACCTTCTCTAAGTGCTCGCCATGGAGAAAAAGTCCGTGGTAGGAGTTGCGAAGGGTGTGAGTGACCGTAGCACGATTTTAGGGGTTCGCTGAGATATTTAACCTATAAGCCCAGTTTTCGAAGCGCTTTAGATACTTCTGTAGGATGCCCGTTGCTTCGTACACGCAATTATTCTTTGCAAGGATTGCCGTGTCATCAGCAAACGTAGCCACCACGAGATCCTGCCGACTGTCAAGGGACTTTTCGCTTGCCGTGGACATATCGTGCGTGAATAGGCTCTAAAGTGTGGGACCCAAAACACTACCTTGTGGAACGCCCGCTCTAATGTCCTCTCGTTCATTTCCCGGTCGAAGGTTTGCTGGATGTCGAGGTATGCTGCCACTACATACTCCTTTCTGCTTAAGCCGTCCAAAATAAAGTTTGTGAACCGATGGAGTTCTTCAGGGTTACCGTGTTTATGTGGAAAGTGACCTAGCCGAAGAGTTGCATTGAAAATGGTGACGAGCACCGCCTTCTATGGCAGTAGCTTAATTGTCTGGTTGTCCACCGCAGCACCTCCTCTGGCTCGACTTGCTGGGTGATCCGCACGGTACAGGCCGGCGTGTAGGTGGGTTTCTGAGACAAGCATGATATTCATTTCATGTTTTCTCATAAACAGCTTCAGCTCGTTTGGGTTTTGTATGATGCTGCGAGCGTCCCACGATCCTAAGCGCAGCTGGGCAGCCATTGTTTGCGGTGCGTGGGAAGACCTAGATGTGGAGGTCCTTGCGCGTCCTTCCTTGATGCTGACTAGGATAGTTGCGACCGCGGCATTAAGTGCTGGGATCGGCTGCTGAAGTCATTGTAGGATGCTTCCGAGGGACGTGTTTTGCCCCTGAGATTGATTCTGTGGGTATTGGGGCTGCATTGTTGTAGCGGTGGACTAGTTGGTGTACATGGGGGGTTGGCACGCTTGTGCATGTAAGTGTTACTGGTAAGTGTTACGTCCTGGCTGCAACGCATCAGCATACGACAGGCCTTGTTGCACAATTCGGTAGGGTATGAACTGCGCGTTGATGCGCCGTGTAGGTTGCTGTTGGTTGTGTCGTGCCGGTGGGTCAACATTGATGGCCGGTTGTCTGGCATTAAAGCGCTGCTGGTATGTTTTGCATCTTTTATAGTACACAGTTTGAGCATCGCAGGTCTGCCACCGTTTTGACCTGACATTGCTCCGAGTTCGTCCAGTGGGGCTAGCCGCACCATCCGCATTTGGGCTTTTTGAGAAAATAGTTTTTAGTGTGGTCGAACTCATAGCAGTGATAACGTTAAATGATGCTTTTATTCTTTCTCGGGAGGTCATCTTGGGCCCGTTGACGACCAACCTTGCTAATTCGAAGCGCATCCCTATTATTAGGAGCCTGCTTAAGATCTACAAACTAGTAGTTGCGACTTGGCGAATCATTTGTGGGGTCAGCATCGGCGTCACTTGTAGGTAGCTTGGTCCCCGGGTTGTTTGGATTTTTCCCAACGTAGCCGTGTATTGCAAAGGTACTTTCGATTTGGCTTTTGGGAGCAGAAGCGGCGAAGTTTTTGACGACGATGCGATACGGTCTGTCCTCCGTGAGACAGAAGTGCTTTAACTGGACCCTGTGAGCTTGCAAATAATGGCTCCATGAGTGTCAGAATCTTTCGCGTAGTTTCTTAGTGCGCCGGAGGGAGAGACCTTAAATTCATAGGCATCTGGGCCAGCTGCCTGGTCAAGGGTCTGTTCCAGCGACGATGTCGATAACTCCAGTAAGTGTTAGGGCCTGGGTTTGGGGACCTTTTTCACAGGCTGAGGTGCAGAACTTCGTCGGCAATTTTCATCTCGTCGTCTTGCATGTCAGTGGCTTTTCCTGAGGCGCAAGTGGAGCATTTCTGTTCCCATTTGTCAGGGAGGCACTGGGAGCAGATGAACTTTCACCAGCGGTTCTTGGAAGGCTGGCATATTGCCTTTGCTCCTTAGAGGGTGCACAGCAGAGTTTTGACTGCAAAGAGCGCTGCAAAACGCAGCTGCTGGGGAAGAGCTCTGACCGCCATATGTATCGACCGGGATAAGCTGGAAAGTTTCATTGGTGTTTTTTGGCAGTGGGCTCCAGTGCGGCACAGCTTATACCAGTGGAAGCAGAGGTCCTTGCGCCGCTACTTGAGGACGCAGTGGTTGTAGTTGTTGGGGTTGCCGTTGTGCGCACAATGCCGTGTTGCTGAGGTTGTGGCTGGTGCGACTGCCTCCATACCTCAGGGATGTACACGTGAGCCTCGTTCATGTCATCAGGTGAAGATCTACTTGCTTCAGTGAGCGGGGCTGGAAGACCTTGTACTTGATTGCTGTTGGCTTCAGGATTAATTGACGGTGGGATTTTGCTGAACACTGCATGACAGGTGCAGGTGTTGCTGCGTGTGTTGCATGCATGGGTAGCAGGGACGTCATCTTTTTATACCCTGAACCCATTAAAAATGGGTACAAGGGTATATTGTATTTGTGCGAAAGCCAAATGTATGAAACAGGCAGAAGGAAGCATCTCCGACCCCATAAAGTATATATATTCTTGATCAGCCGAGTCGATCTAGCCATGTCCGTCCGTCCGTCCGTCCATCCTTCTGTCCGTATGTATGAACGCAAGGATCTCAGAACCTATAAGAGCTAGAGACTTGAAATTTTAGATGTAGGTGCTCTTAGCTCCCGCGCAGATCGAGTTTGTTTCCGATAATCGATAACTTACTCCGTTTCCAAGCAATCGATAAAAATAAAAATATTGATATCCTGTTTTTTGGGCAATTTTGGTAAATAAAAAGAGCTAGAGTCACCAAACTTGACGTTTGATGTTGGAAGAAGAGGGTTCAGGGTATCCCCTAGTCGAGAGCTCCCGACTAGAACCTCTTACTTGTTGTGTTTCAGTTTTTAACAGTTGTTTTTAAATTCCTTTTTTTAAATCAAAATAGCTTGTCAGTAATTTGCGTTAACAGAACAATATGTGTTAATGGCTACAATTATTAAATCAGTTCTACTGATATGTGTATATGTTTCATTATCATTATTCATTATTCATTATTAGGTATTCCTCTTAGACAATTGCTTGGGTTGTCGTTAAACATGCTATATTGGATTATAAAAGTTATGTTTTACATATCATACGGTTAGGCAAATAGACATTGCCAGATCATCAGCACCATTGATTGTTGATTGTATAAATATATGTATGTATCCACATATACCTACACTTTATAAGAATATATGAGGGTGAAATGGGCTACTTACCTCCATCATCCATTCAGCAACAATTTTGCGCATAGGCGGGGTTATGTCCTTTTGTACTGTCTTTAAATATGTTCCGAGAATCTGAGCCTTTACCTCCGACTTTAGGGCATTTTCTAAACAGCGATCCGATTTAAAAATGGGATCTGTAACGATCACATGTGCATTTTCATACACAAAACGCTTATCGCCTACAGCTTCATTTTCATTTGTTATTGCAGTTAATTTGGAGTTATTAGATTGGTGATGCGAAGGCAGTTGATACAGTAGTTGATCATTATTTAACTGTGTTTGTTTAAGTTGTTTTGTTGATAGGGTCGGACTTGTAGGTGTTGCCACTGAAGATATTACATACACCAGCTTATTCATATTGCAAGCAGAAGGTACTCTGACAGACACTGCTGGTATGCTGTCGGTTGTAGTATCTGTTGCTGTGTTACATTTTGCAATGGTCGAGAAGCATACTGATGAACAAGTTATGCAATTGCAATTGATGTTGAAATTATTTGTAATTTGTTGTTCAGTGGGCGTTTTTTTTTTATACCTATGTAACGACTGTTCGGAATGAGTAACTATGCTTTCAGTACACAGTAAATCCATATTTTAATCAATTGGTATTTAAAGAACTAGGCTAAACTATATAATTTGTGACATATAGTGTAAAATTTTATTACAAATTTCAAATTTGGTTCACATTGAAATATGCACGTGTGTATGTGGACAACATTCAAAATATTAGTTTTTGGCGATAGCGACAAGGCGATACACCCAACAGATCAAGCAAGTCATAATAAAATCCGAAAATCATCGCGATTGATGTTAGAGCGTACATGTGCTAAGATTTACAACTGTTCGTCAATTTACATTTAAATGTGTTTTTTAATAATAATTAAATTAATGTAAAAATACATTATTGCACATATATTTGAGTTGAATATCTACGTATTATATCATATTCCATATTTATTTTCTTTTATACTATATTCCGTTTTATATGTGAACTATGCAGATTTGGCCATATATTAATACACATGCACATTTTTCATTTATCACACCAAAGCAGCTCACAATTAATTGATAAATGTGTATAAATAAAACATAATAAAAGGTTTTCAATACCGGTGAACATACGCACATCTAAATTTCACTTGAAAACAAGTAGCGATAAGTATCGTAGAGTTGGGATAAGCAGTGTATTTTGACTTAGCCTGCGTCTGCTATCACATCCAGAAAGTGGAAGCGAGCTCAAACCCTATATAAAAATCTTCTATTCATAAATAAATCAATGCCACAAGTAAATCTTATATTTTTTCAACACAGATGAATCAATTTTGGCCATCAACTGTGCTATTGACTGAGAGATGCATCTGTGAATATAGTCGGTGACCACAATTTGGAATTTATGCGTGTGGCAACATTCGGCACCCATCACGTTGTTGCCAGATGTAAGAGGAGTCCGACTTTGTTTGCGGTCAACGGCGGAGTTAAAATAAAAACGAAAGCTCTCAGATAAGACATTAAAAGCTCTACTGGCAAAATTAAAAAACTAAATTAATTTAAATTGTGCTAAACATAATTTTTTGCATTTGACGTTGTCGGCAGCATCGACATTCCTAGTTGGGTGCGTTCTTTATTATCGGACACGCCGATATCTGTTGTCATAGGGGCAGAGTATCGGGGAGAAGTCGGGCACACAGCGGCGCCCAATTTATTGATGACTGGCAACGCCGGGCTTATAGGGAGAGAGGATCTCATGCCCTTAGATATGCCCTTGGCATTCATATGGGCCGTTGACCCCTTAAAAAAAAATTCAGCAGTGCATATGGACAGCAACGGTGACCATATTTAAATATATGCGTGTGCCGAAATTAGACACCTATGATGTTGCTGCCCAAATGTACAGCCCTGAGTTCGATTTTGTCCACGGTCAACGTCGGGATTGCCGTGCTTAAGGTAGTTTCAAATAAAGTTGTTTCTTTTCTTTTTGCTTGTCGAACCCATACAAAAGTTTTCTTAAAGAGTTTCTAACTAACCCGACGTGTACAAAAAAATAAAATATAATTACTAGGAATTTTGTCGTTTGTAAAATCCTGAAACTTTAATTAATCAATATGATGAGGTATAAAAAATTCAAAACTTTAAACACATGCGACATGGAACGAAAAATAAAAGACAAGCTAATAAATAAAAGAAACGGCCAGCGGTTCCGGCAACGAAGGGACCAGTCCTCGGTCCAGAGAGGACGACAGAAATAGCCAGTCCAGGCTTCGGCTCAGCGGCACATCTCTGCCATATCAGCGGAGCACGTTGGCCATACTCCGCGCACTGGTCTTCGGCGCAACTATCACGACGGCGAAACGAGCCACAACAGACGGGCCTCCAACAGCGAAGAAGCGGCCACAAGCGAAACCACGCCCACCTCATCCGAGTGAGCCTGTTCCATTTCACCCCTCTTCGCACGAGTAAATGTCAGAGTCAGACATAGACTCCTAATGGTGCTCCGTAAAAGAGAGCACTATTTTTTGCAATTGCTAAACTTATTTTTTGTTTGTTTGTATATATATATATATATATATATATATATATATATATATATATATATGTATATATATATTATATATATATATATATATGTACTTACGCCAAGCTTCACTTAAAAGTACGAACAGTGAGGGAAAAACTTCAAAGGTTATGCATATTCACCTATTATATATAAAAGTTTAAAATTTTATTCTTGCACGAACAATACACACCGACATACATATCTGGAAATACCCTTTATATAGCTCCTTACCATCCCCAGAGAGCTCTTTAAATAGGGTAAGGTAGATTTAAGCGATTTAATACATATCACATAAGTATTTGCGTGGGTAGTTGTTCCTAAATCGGTGCAACGATCAACTTATAATTGCCTCCTTTCCCTTTTTTTTACGGCGATTGGCAATAACTTTTGCAGTGTTTTCGTCGTCTGTTACGTCTAAAAAATGTAAAATAAAAAAATATTTATTCTGTTAGATAAATGAAATTTTAGAAACTAAGGTCAATAACAATGAGAATGTGCTACAATTATACGCACCTAATGAAGAATCGTCCATCTGCATAAAAGCGTAAATAGCTGCGGGTTGATAACCTGCAGAGATACCTGCAATAGAAGAAAATCAATATTAATAATCAATAATTATAAAAATACACTTATACACCTGTGAATTTCACTTAAGGTCCGCATTCAGGAGATCGTAAATAACTGCAGAAAGAAATGAGATTGGTATTAATTTTTAAAAAACGCAACCAATTATATCCACATATTGAAGGAAAAGAATGTCCGGCTAAGCTTAAATTGACGGGGAGAGGGTGCATGACAACCGACACGGGCTAATGCAGGCCATCCAGTGGCCAAAATATCGGAGACGAGTAGGCGATCGTCTCATGGTAGAGCGGGTACACAGGGTCCGGAACCGGGACCCGATCTGGAGGAGTACAGTGTATCCACTGTATTTTTGTTGATTTATATTTAACGTCTTACCTTTGTTGTTTACCTTTCTTGTCGTCACAGCTGTTTTTGTTGTTCATTTGTTAGCAGTACGGACTGTTTGATGTTATCGATTCATGGCTCGTTTTGCATAGTGTTGTATCACTAACCATACAATGTATAGACATGCCAAATGGCACTTTTTATCGTAACAAGAAAAATCGAAACGAGGTGACCCCAATGGTACCTGCGACTATTTTAGTGTTCCCAGACAGAGTAAGACTGCTGAGAGTGGCAGCCGAACGCCGGCCTCAAAAGCCAAACGTTCAGTATGAAGCCGCATCTCGCTCAGCGCACAACGTCGCGGCTGATGATGCGTTTTCTTAATATTTGTAAGTATGCCATTTTTAAATCCTCACAGCCCAAAAATATATGTGTGTATGCATGTGCCTCACTCATTGCTTTGCGCACTTGCGTCCATCTCTTTCTTACTCTATCTGGGCACACTAAAATGGTCGCAGGCACCCTTGGGGTTCCCTCGTTGCGATTTATCGTGTTTCGATAAAAAGGCTGTTTGGTATATCTATGCATCGTATGGTTAGTGCTCGTTTGCTACGAGGTCTTAAATATTGCCATTGCTTGGCCATTGTCATCACGGATGGGACCAGCAGTCAACTGCTCCTCCTTTGAAAACATGTCCGTCCTTGGGCATGCCAATGTTTTTTCCGTTACTGCTTGAGGAAGTACTGCTGACAAAGTAGCCATAAAGATAAGGAGTTCGTTGATGAGCCGGCCTTGATTTTTAGAGGTTCGGCATGGACGGTTATGTTCAATAGGAGGGCGGCGACTGCTTCGACTCTTTTTGTTGTTCCTATTTAGGAACTTTTTATCGTTGTAAAGGCGATGGGGCCGAAAGTCACAAGGCGGGTACCGATAACATCCTGTCGGTAATACACCAGATTTTTATTATTACGATAACATGTCGACTACCTTGATTGGGTCCAGATAACTGGGTTAAGTCTTGCAGCTGGCGATGCCAGCATATTAGCATTGGCCGCAAGAGTCGGCTTGCAATGCCTGCATGTTAGCATTGGGCACATGAGTCATCGGCTGCTAGTTCACGGATTTGAACTCTTCCTGGTCTTCAAATATGTTTATTATTATGTCCTACTTGCCCAGAGTGGTAGTGAGCATTAAGTTTTGGATCTCGTTCATCAAACATATATTTCATGCCAATTGAACAGGTGACCCGTATCTAAATCTACTTCTTTGGTGATTTCAAAGATTTGTTTACAGTCCCTTTCATCCGATATATTTGCTCTAAGAGCATATATATTTTCTTTATTGATTTTTTATTGTTTTTTCTGTCTTTTACTTGACTATATCAGTGGCGACTCAGCTATTTTAATCTCTTCTAAATTACTGGCGTCTCGAACTCTTGCCACGATTTCAAATGCGGTGCCCAGGAAACAAAAGACTTTACGTGGGTGGTGTTTATCCCCATTAACTTCTGCATGTGCGACTACGAGAGTTACCCCAGCATCATCCGCCATGCGAGAGTAATTCACACACGTTGTCTCATGTAACCGTAGTGTCCCCAGAGAATTACCTATCCATCTACTATTGGAATGTAATCAGAGTAGGAATAGTAAGTGCTCCGGGTGTAAGCTAGCGCGAGAATAGGAAGTAACCCAAAATAGTATTAACCTAAAACCCAGGGTAAAAGTTGTATGGGTGCTGGCATTAATCTTAACAAATAAATAATGAAAAACACAAACACAAAGGTATATATTGGGATGACCTTGTAGATCACCCTTCCATTAATCAGGACTAATATCTTCAAATCTGCTTCTACCCTTCCTACAACGCATAAAGGGGTTATTTTATAACCGGGTCGTTCATTGATGTTGACCAAGACTTTCTCGCTGAATTCGATGACCCTGTTTCGTCTGGTCTGATTGGCTCTTCTTCTATAAAGTTGATGTCTTCCCTATCGTACATGAGTACGCCTTCGACCTTGAGTTCAGCGAGTGCCTCAGCGGCAGACTCGTTGTACGTTGCCTCCTTAGCTTAACCAGGAATGGAAGCGATGTAATCTACCTTTATCGAATCTGCTCTGATAGCCTTTCCAAACTAGAAGGACCTTTCAAAAGTTTCCCAAACTCTAGGGACTTAACTTCTTTGGGTTGTCGGTATTTTGATGAGCAAAGGTCTGCGCCTTTACCCTCGGGCTTTGCGTCCTTTTTTTGGTCCCGCCCTCTTGGTCCTGTGCATTTCCTTGCTCTTCCTGTTGTCGATATTGTGGCTTGTGGGACTTATCTTCAAAATTTCGGGCATTGTTGGCATTGGCATTTAATTCTTAGGCCAAGAACAGTGAAAAAGGCTAAGTGAAGCTAAGCACATCAGTGGGGTACTTTATTTCACATAAGCCGAAAGCTCGAAAACCATCACCCTTATATTTTCCCACACGCACATTGCCAAAATGGTGTCGTAAGACATGTTGACTTTGTCAATAGGGCAATATTTTGTCGACCTTATCATAATATTGAAGAATGGTTAGATTTCCTTGTCTCAGCGAATTCTTGCTCGATGACGTGAATTGGCCGCTTAACTGTACGCTGTAGTATAATCTGCTTCGAATAGCATCGAAAATTAAGGCTCTATTAAAGGAAGCATTTTCAGCGTCTGCAGGGCCTCTAAGCTTGCTTCTTATTATAATCTTCATTGCATGGTAATGGCGAGAGCTGCGATTAAAGGGCTTGTAAATTTTATAGGCGCCGGTAGCTGCCAACGCCATGATACGCAGCTATTTACCTTTCGCTAGTCCTATAATGTTGACTAAAAAGAAAAATAGTACCGATCGTCTTCGTATAGACTATCGCGTTTTTAACGAGAATGCAATCGCAGATAAGTATTTGTTGCTTCTCATTTCAGACCAGGATTCCAGGGTTTGTGGGGCAAGATATTTCTGGTATATTGATATGGCTAGCGGTTTCTACCAAATCCCTCTACATCCAAATTCAATAGAGCGAACAGCTTTTGTTAAGCCAGAAGAACAGTAGGATTTTTTGACCATGCCTTTTAGCTTAAAGAACGCGCCTTTAATATCAACGCGCAATAATTAAGGCATATACGTATTCGTTTAGCTTGACGACATGCTGATTAAAGTGAAACCAAAGACAAAACGTAGAAACGATTGCAGACAGTGTTAGAAACATTAAGTAAAGTAATATTTTATTTTAACTTAATCAAATATTCGTTTCTCCAAACTAGAATATGACATCTTGGATTTGAAATAAGCAAAAGTTCGGCCAAAAGCCCGCAAAATACGTTTGCCACCTCCACATACTAGTTATTTGTTTGATTATTTGCTCCATTATTTTCAGGGGCATTAATACCTCCGTATTTGATGACTCCTACGAACAATCCCGAAGTTGTCAGGCTGCGAGAGCATGAACAAATACTTTTAAAAATTATAACTATATTGACACAGGCACTACATACTATATTAAGCATATTTGACCTATAATATTCAATAAAATTGTACACAGATTCTCACTCAATTGGATATGGGGCAATATTGCTGCATAAAATACAAACATATCCCAAATTGTTAATTATTACATTAAATGCATCTCACCTGTTGTATACCATTTGTATACAATAAATATAATTAGAGAAAAACGAATTAATTTGACTGAAATAACTGACGATTGGATAATTTCTAAACAACAACGAAATCCTGAGTAAGCGAAGACAGCAACAATAATACGCAACAATGAATTGCCAAAATATGTAGACAAAACATATAAATTGAGATGGGGAATATTAAAAAGAAACCAAATGTTTTCAAGTAATCCCACAAGCTTTTAAATAGGGTGTGATCAATCACTTTCATAATTTGTTGAAAGCTGTATCGCTTATAAAGTAGCGAAACCAAAAGTACAGGCAGCGCTACCTTCGATTCCCAAGATAGATATACCATGGCACACTGTCAACCTGGATGTAAAATTAAATGAGCGGCAAAAATGACTTATAGCTTTATTTTAACCATACTTTAAACGTTAGTACTGACAGCTGCCAATAATATGTTAACCACCGTGGAAACCAGTCAGAGATAGAAGAAAGATGCGTTAATTGAAGTTAAACTTGCTATGAATTGCACTGAAAACCGAGTCACTAAGGTAAGCATTTTAAAATTATTGATCGGCTAGGCCTCTTAGTCTATTTGCCTTTTGCCAATAAGTGAAGAAGAATATGAGGTAAACAGAGAATATTAAAAAAACAAGTAAGAGGTTCAAGTCGGGAGCTCCCGACTAGGGAATACCCTGAACCCTCTTATTCCAACGCCTAAATGCAGTTCGCGCAACGCGCTTGTTTGAAGTAATCAAGATAAATTTTAAAAAAAGTTCCCTTGGCAGGGTTCGAACTCGCAACTAACCGTAACTAACCAGCAAGTAGCTGACGACTCTACTCGACAGACAAAACAGCAAAAAAAAATAAACAAAGTTTCCCAGGTAGGGCTCGAACTCCCGACAGAGCGCAATACTTGCTATGCCTCTACTTAACAGCCCCACCAATAATTAAGTATTATCGAGAAAAAAAACTATCTGAAATGCTGTTAGAATGCGAAGCAGACGCGGATGTGTGTATGTACATGTATACACAAATTCTTGATGTTTCCGCTAGCTGTGCCATCCAATTGCGCAGTTACATATAACTTTGGTTTTTTTTTTACCGATCTTAATGAAATTTTCTACAGTATATCTTATTGTACCATCGAATATTTGTTTATATTCAAAAAGTCAATTGCATTAAAATTGTGGCTTAGATTGGTTGGCAATATAAGTTGGGTAATAAGTTGGAAATAACTTGATTTATAGCTCTACGGTGGTAGCGGGGAGGTGGCGATAGGTATAAAATGAAAGATAATTGACATATATATTATATTCTAGAAGCAACATATCAAGTTTGGTGACTCTAGCTCTTAATATTTACCCAATTTGCTAAAAAAACAGGATGTCGAAATCGATTTTTATCGATTGCTTGGAAACGGAGTAAGTTATCGATTATCGGAAACAAACTCGATCTGCGTAGGCACTAGGAGGACCTAAATTCTCGTTTTCAGGTCCCTAGCTCTTATAGGTTCTGAGATCCTTGCGTTCATACATACGGACAGACGGACATGGCGAGATTGACTCGGCTATTGATGCTGATCAAGAATATATATACTTTATGGGGTCGGAGATGCTTCCTTCTGTCTATTACATACATTTGCATTTTGCACAAAAACAATATACCCTGTATTTATGGTATAAAAAACCCATGCACGAAGGTTTGATGAAAATAAAGCAAAAATTATAAAACATAAAGTAGGTGCTCATGTATTGCTAAACATTGAAGAGCATCATCCAAACCACAATTACTTGATAATGAAAAAAAAAAAAAAAAACATTAAAATAACACCACATACACACAGTAGAAAATACAGTACAATCGTAATTGTAATGCTGTGTACATATGTGTACATGTATACAGGAATTCTTGCCATTTGCTCTAGCTGTCCCAAGCACGTGGGCAACCAAAACACTCGAAAACACAGTCTTATTATGCTGTAGAGTTGTCGTATATTTTCAATTGCATTAAAATTATGGGTTGATGGCTTATGGTGGGCAATACAAAGAGGTTTTTTTTTCTTGATTTAAAGCACTTATCTAGCTCTTATAGGTTCTGAGAAGCTTCCGTTACATTCGAACGGACAGATGGACATGATGCTGATCAAGGATATATTTAGCCGGCTGGCTGAAAGAGAAACAAACACATCCGTAACCAAAATAAACATGCGCGCCTTGGGCTTTGGGCTCGTGTGTGAGCCATGCTGAAGTCACGGTGGATAACCATAGTAAGTTGTAATCGTGTGTTAAATTATTAAGTTAATATACGCCTTTTATTTTCCAGATAATGCCAAGTACGTTGAAAATTACGTGATTTTTTTCGACAAAGAAATTCTGTCAGCAGTTACAGCACTGTAGAACCTTCTCCTGCAAAGTGCTGAAGGAAATAGCGTCCAGCATTTTCAGGCACATCTGTTGGAATTACTTCGAAATGAAAATAATTATAATATTAATTATTGATTCAGTAATTATATTAAAATACTTTAAATATGCAACAGTTGCCAATTTATTTTTATAATTTATGTTTTTGAGAACAACAGTTTCACATTTTCAATAAAATTCATTCGTTCCCCTAAAATGTTCGCAGCGTGATTGACTTCGTTTGCATTCATTATGCCCAAACACATGTTTCTATACAATGTAGCTAGCGCTACACCAAAACACGAACGCTTATCAGAAGCTGATAAGGCTATTCCTCATCCGTGTTTGGCTTTACATTGATTCCAATTTACATTCTTCATTATCAAAGCAATTAATAATGAACATGACTGGCTGCAATTTATGCAGGTATTTGCATTGAAGATAATAAATCTATAATATATCTATAATCAATTGAAAAACAAAAATATAATATCAATTTTAGATCATTAAATAAACATTTAAACCTAATGTATGTAACAAGCAGAAGGAAGTATCTCCGACCCCATAAAGTATATATATTCTTGATCAGCATCAATAGCCGAGTCGATCTAGCCATGTCCGTCTGTCTGTCTGTCTGTCTGTCCGTCCGTCCACCCGTCCGTCCGTCGGTCCGTATGTATGAACGCAAGGATCTTAGAAGCTATAAAAGCTAGAGACTTGAAATTTTAGATGTAGATACTCCTAGTTCCCGCGCAGATCGAGTTTGTTTCCGATAATCGAAAACTTTCTCCGTTTCCAAGCAATCGATAAAAATCGATATCGATATCCTGTTTTTTGGGCAACTTTGGTAAATAATAAGACCTAGAGTCACCAAACTTGACATATAGCTTCTAAAATAAAATATATATATATGCATTTGATGTTGGAAGAGGGTTCAGGGTATCCCCTAGTCGGGAGCTCCCGACTAGAACCTCTTACTTGTTTGACTTATAGCTTTGCTTTGGACAATCGACAAAAATATGAACGCACGCAATACGAAATCTAATCTACACTGCCAGAAGATGATTTTGTTAACATTTTTCTGAAGCAGTTTTGATCGATGGGATCAACTTTAAATTTTAGTTTGTTTCAGGAATCCCATGAATTTTTATATTAAATAAGAAAATGTATCAGTATTTCTGTCAATTCAACAAATCGATAATTGGATTCACTGTTTTCATTGCAAATAAAAGCTGAATTGATCCTATCGATACTAACGAACGTTCCTTGACATCGCTAACAACAACCAACTACATGACTGAAGATCTTAGTTATTCAAATATTTTGTAAAATGTTTAAACAATCTTTTAAGCATTATAAAAAAAAAGATCAACTGCCTGACCTTCAAGATGTAATTGACTTCGACATTTATGAAGCAAACAATTCCTCTTACAGTTGGTGTAATGTAAGTAGATAAATGAATTGTGTATCATGCATATGTACATACATATGTCCTTATGCATGTACATAAATTGTATTCATTGGTCGGTATAAACATAAATATGTATGTATGTATGCATACAATTTGTCAATCAATAATTGTTTGCAATATGAAAAACATCACAATTTCATTTTTAAACTTGGACTGCCGACTTTAACTCATTTTTCTTAATTTTATTTTTGCATGCTATTATTCTAAGAATTCTTCATTTAAGGCACAAATATTCGAAAATTCACAAACCAAAAGTAAAATACTCAAGCCAAACAAAAACTCGGCAAATATTACGCTGTCAATTATCCAACTATTATTGTATATATGACTAAATCTAGGAAACTATAGCAATTGGTAGTACTAACATTTTGTATTTTGGCCATAAGCTTCCAGCCCGCATACGACGAGACATTGACTGAATAAGGTAATCCAGGTCATACATTTCGGGAATTTTTATTTATTATTTTTGAATGGCCTTGATAAGAGCGTTTTTGTTAGTTGGACTCCGTTTCCCCACTCACTTTAAGAAAGCCCACAAATTTCCGATTGGGTTTATGTGTGGACTCTTGTCAGGGGTGTTAGTGATTTTGATGCAATTGTCCAGCAGCCACATTTTACACAGAAACGATATTTGTTTGAGGTCGAGTAAAGCTTGTTCCACTGTTTATTGTGGTTTTGGGGGACTACGAAACCAAACTCTATTGTGCACCTTGACAATTCACCACCTTGACAGTTCATTAAGTAAGTCTTCGGAGGTATGCCTATAAAGTGCTTTTATTCTGCTCTTTTCTTTTTCGGCTGAGTTTATAATATTATAAAATTAACAGTTTCCCCTTTGTGGTAGCGGTTACTTTTTGTTTTGAATTTCGTTATTTTTGGGCCTTGTATTTATGACTTAGAATAATAATTGTGCAAATAAAAGTAAAGGGAAAATAGCTTAAGTCGGTAAAGTATGTTTAAAGATGAATTTCTGTGATGTTTTGTATTTTGCAAAGAATCACAAGACAAACTGTATTTTGACTAACACTACTTTTAATCAATGACAATATAAACACTTAGATAGGTAACACCATACAAAAATGTGATACTGTGTAGCTTGTTTTTTCGTCCGTCTGTCCGTATGTATGAACGCAAGGATATCAGAACCTGTAAGAGCTAGAGAAATTTTAGATGTAGGTCCTCCTAGTGCCTGCGAAGATCGAGATTTTTTCCGATAATCGATAACTTGCCCCGTTTCCGAGTAATCGATAAAAAATTATATCGAAATCTTGTTTTTTGAGCAATTTTGGTAAATAATAAGAGCTAGAGTCACCAAACTTGACATGTAGCTTATAGAATAGTATATATATTTGCATTTCATGTTGGAAGAAGAGGGTTCAGGGTATTCCCTGGTCGGGAGCTCCCTACTAGAACCTCTTGCTACAAATTTGAAAACGAATTCAAAATCGGTCTCACTGTTCAAATAGGGAAATAGGGAAAACGGTAAAAATACATCCACCAAAGCATATTTGATGTGTTGTTATTCACTGCAGTGAATTTTGCTATCGAAGAAACCATACATCTTAGTTTTATTGCGCTGACAACGATGTATCCCAAATTTGTACCACCATATCTGAGCCTCTCTGACCCTACACATGATCAGCTGGTAGCATGACAGCCAAAGCGCATATTGTCTGTCCGTATGAAACGAAAAGTTCTCAGAACCCATAAGAGCTAGAGACTTGAAATTTGGAATAAAGGTGCTCCTAGTGGCCGCGCTGTACGAGTTATTTCCGATAATAGATTACTTGCCCCGATTCCAAGTAAACCGCTTCACTAGTCGCAGAGTTTGCTGGAATGCAAATTATTTGCTTGACGAATTTCTGCAGGAATTTTATAATATTCGCTTCTTTTAAAAATATAAGAAAAAGAAATGTCGGCAGAGGCATAATATTTTTCTATCTCAAAATATATTTCACGTTTACTCTCTAATTTTGGTTTCGATTGGTTTGTGCCGAAGACATCGGAAAAGATGTTTCTGCGATTTTTAGGTAAATTATGCAAACCATCACCACTGATAATAATTATATCTGTATATAAATATTGCATGTTTGTTCACCTTGCATAAAGTACTTGATGCATTGAACTACCTTCCCAAATTATGTACAAATTAACTTAATCTGGTGTTAATTATTAGATACTATTTAATTATAATATTCCAGATTTTAAACGGGCGATCAAGGCTTCATGTAAGAACTTACCCTACAGATAGCTTAACTCCTCCCAGCACCCCATGGCCCTCTGCAGCACTCACGACAGAACACTCAAGCTACCTTATGCCCTTGTATGAAGCGGTCCCTCAGCGTTGATCTGTGGTTATCAGATTATTTTGGTACGGCATTGAAATGATAAAAAACACGACTTACTCGCAAGTCGCTCGTCAATAATAAACTTTTTTTGTGCTAATAAACTTCTGCACATGCACACTGCACATTTAAATGTTTATGTTGTTTGAATGTTTGTAAAGCTGGAAGCCCGGATATTCATACAATACCCTTACTTGTCATCTTATAGTCAGGTCAGCAAAACATTTCCTGTCGTTCGGCCTTACCGGTGTTCCTTAACCATTTTGCTGCCCCTTAGAGGTGTGTATTGTTCCCATGTCGTTAGAAGGTTGGCCTAGCGATTTATCTGCTGCCAAAGGTGTTATATGTTCAATTATTTAATGGTTGAACTTAGATTTATTTAAGTACTAGATTAAAACAAGTAAGAGGTTCTAGTCGGGAGCTCCCGACTAGGCGATACCCTGAACCCTCTTGTTCCAACACCTAATGCAGTTCGCGCTACGCGCTCGTTTCTAGTAATAAAGATAAATTTAAAAAAAAAAGTGCTCTTGGCAGGGTTCGAACTCGCAACTAGCCGCACTACTTGCCGCCGTCTTCAGACAACAGCCAAAGCAGCAAAAAAAAAAATAGTTTCCTCGGCAGGGCTCGAACAGATCACACCACATGCCGCCGCCTCTACTTAACAGCCACGCTTAAATCTCAGGGAGAAAATAACCAATTTAAATAGAAGCACAGAAAACAACATAATCGCAATTATAAATTGGTTGGTCGAAGCAGACGTGCACGAACGTGTGTACATTTATACAGAATTCTTGGAATTTGAGTCGCAAACACATGCGCAGTTAAAATACCGAAAAACAAAACAAAAACCGATCTCAATGAAATTTTCTACAGTACATCTTATTGTACCATAGAATATTTGTGTATTCTCAAAAAGACAATTGCATTTAAATTGTGGCTTAAATTGGTGGACAATACAAGTTGGGTTATTAACTGGATTTATAGCTTTGCGCTGGTGGCAGGGAGGTAGCGATAAGTATAAAATTAAAGATACTTGATTTATATATACTATTCTAAAATAAACATATCAAGTATTTTGACTCTCGCTCTTAATATTTACCCAATTTGCTCAAAAAACAGGATGTTGATATCGATTTTTATCGATTGCTTGGAAACGGAGTAAGTTATCGATTATCGGTAACAAATTCGATCTGCGAAGGCACTAGGAGGACCTACATCTAAAATTTAAGATCTCTAACTCTTATAGGTTCTGATATTCTGAAACATTGCTTGAAAATAATCTTTTTAAGCCGGCGGTAGTCAACGCAAACGCGATTGCTCACGTGCTTCTTCCTTATCACCAGCAAACGGCTAGCCAAATTTAATTACGAACGCTGAGTCACGTCTGCGTCAGGACGCTTTTTGATTTTCTTGTCAAATGCTGAAATGGCATTATGTTTATGTCTAGTACGATCATGTGCTCGATCGGGCACTCAGCTATTTTTGGCATCGGATTGTGATTTCAAATCGACGTCCGCCTGTCTTTTTTAAACTGTGAAGTTATTATTGCAATTTTGGAGGGGGAAAAAATATCGTAGCTGACTGCTGTTATCGTAATGGGGGGAATTGTATAAAAAATCATACTCCAGCAAAGCATCGCAGACAATGGCGTTATAATACTTGTGAATGAAGTCACATCGTAGATATCTGATTCAGCTTGTCAAGCGTTTTGATTCGCATACTTTGGATACATTCTTCCCTTTCAATTGACATACGCGTTCTACTATTTTTTTATTTCGGCCCTCCACACTTTGTCTTCTTTACATGCCTCAATTAAGTGGTCTTACGGTGTGTTGTACTCATACACTGTCGTCAATGCAAAAAACAAAGCTTCCATCTGCTCTTGCTCACTTGGATGGTGTGAATGTTCCACGATATTATATCAATGAGCTGCTGTGGTATCATTTTATTTTCGGCTACATGCACTCGTTGCAGTGTTAACTTTGTATGATTTTACTTATTTATTCGAAGTCAATCAAGATTAAATTTAAATTAAGCTAGGCTCGAGGTCAATGTTGATTATAGAGACAAACTGAGTGTAAACAACAGCCGAGTTAATATATCCGTCTGTCTGTTTCTATGCAAACTAGAGCCTCAGTTATATAGCTTTATTTTTGTAACTTCGCATATGTCCGCCTTTCTGTTGCATGCAGTACATATGTTGGATTGAAGCACTGCTACTGCTACCATAGGAACGATCGGGCGCAAAATCGTGTGTTTCAAAAAAAAAACTTGTTTGTTTTCAAAACCAACACCATTAACCAAATTCGGTATTTGCGAGTTTAACTAAGCTATTCATATATTAGACAAATCTAATCGATATCGCAGTATTATTTTTATATCACATAATTATATTATATATACACAGTGGACGAGCATATTTTGACATGTATGTATGTACAAAGTGCGAAGATGAATGCACTGCACTATCGATAATTGCTTTGATCCCAAATCAGAATACAGTTTCGCTGCGTATAATGCGCATGTATCTCTGTATAGAAGGGAGCTGGAATGTTTCTAACGGAGGCTTGGTGCTGGGTTAGCGTATCACCACTAACCATACAACATATTGATAGAACAGCTAGAAAA